GGGGGGGGGGGTAGCAGCATGCTCAGCCTTGAATTTAGCAGGCAGCTGAGGGAGCAGACCGCGGGCGAAAACTGGGAACGACAAGGCAGGCTCTTAGAGCAGATGGAAAGCTCGCTGAGGAAGCAGAGATGATCCGGGCAGTCAGTTAAACATCTACATGTTTTGCGTTTTTTAAATTAATTTTTTAGAGAATTAAGCAAAGCTTTTATACCATGAAATAAGAACAGGGTGCTATTAAAAAAAAAACCCCAAAGACTTTCAAAGAATTATAAAAAGAAAATGTTCCTAGAACATTCACTGGGAGGTAAGTTCACTAGAAGAATCCAAAAGAAAAAGGCTAATCTCTCAGAAAGTAGAAAAACAGAACAAAAAAAATCATGGAGGAGAAGATATTTAATAATTGGGAGATTGCTCCAGGAAGCGCCTACCTACATCTGAACAATAGGAGCTCTAGCCTGTGAGACTAGAAGGTGGACGGTGGGCAATGGAAGAACTTCCCAGAGGCTGTTCGTTAGTGACTGGAAAGGGAGGGCCCGTCAGTCACCCGCTGAGCGGATAGACCCTGCACATCAGGAGACTGAACTGTGGGTCTCTCAGCGATGCACAAATGACAGACACCTCTGTTGACAGAGAAAAAGAAGAACTCTTAAAATGAGCTGGGAGAGCAGAAGCCAGGGAAGCTGGACTGCTGGACTCAGGGAAAAGACATTTCAAAACGGAAAGTGAAAAGAGAAATTATACACAAAGCTGAGGAATATTTTTTACCAACAAATAACTCACCGCCATTGACTTTATTCTGACTTATAGGGCAAGGTAGAAACCTCTGGGTTTCCGAGACTGTAACTGTTTACGGGAGTAAAAAGCCTCGTCTTTGAATTCTTTGGGCAGAAAGACAGGGCAAAGGTCAGAAATATCGGCTGGCATTGGAGGAGGGAGAGTGGTCAATGCAGGGCGCCTTAAAGAGTTTGTGGAAAAGTGGAATTAAAAGGGAATGGAGTTTTTTAAGCCCCTATATATAAGTCAATGAATATTATATTGTCTCATACTACTGGTCATGTGTGTATGTGTATGCGCGCACACATGCATGTAAGTGAAAACACATGGTAGCAATAGTATATAAGTCAGGAAAAAGTAAATGGAATTAGTGTTCTAAAGTGCTTACATTGTCTGAGATGGTGGAAAGAGTGTCATCTGATGTTAGAAGTTAAGTCAAGGTTGCCTCTTGGCATCTAAGATTTGCACTCAAGGGCTGGTAGGAGCATCTAAGTCCGTAGCAATAGGAAGGGGGGTGGTGTGAAGGAAGAGAGAGCAAATAAACAAGAACTTCCTCATAATGCTCATAAAATTATATCCAATCTATCAGTAAAACTAAAAAGGACTATACGGCTGGGGGGGGGGG